TTTGCTGTGCTGTGCCGGAAGTGGCGGGTGGCCCAACTCCATGGCGGTGGCTGCTGTTGGGGTGCAGTGGGGCAGTGACTGAGCTGGTGCCTGGCCCCTGGCCTGGCCTCCAGGCTCTGCACCCCTGATGCTGCTCGGGTGCTGACCCCGCCCGGCCAGGACAATGGTGAAGTATTTCCTGGGCCACAGCCTGCTCCGGAGTTCCTGGGACCAAGTGTTCGCTGCCTTCTGGCAGCGGTACCCGAATCCCTATAGCACACATGTCTTGACGGAAGACATAGTGCACCGGGAGGTAACCCCTGACCAGAAGCTCCTGTCCCGGAGACTCCTGACCAAGACCAACAAGATGCCCCGCTGGGCCCAGCGACTATTCCCTGCCAATGCTGCTCATTCAGTGTACATTCTGGAGGATTCTATTGTGGACCCACAGAACCAGACCATGACCACCTTCACTTGGAACATCAACCACGCCCGGCTGATGGTGGTGGAGGAACGATGTGTTCACTGTGTGAACTCTGATAACAGCAGCTGGACCGAAATCCACCGGGAAGCTTGGGTCTCCTCTAGCTTATTAGGCGTCTCCAGAGCTGTCCAGGAATTTGGTCTCGCCCAGTTCAAAAGCAATGTAACCAAGTCAATGAAGGGTTTTGAATACATCTTGGCCAAGCTGCAAGGTGAGGCCCCTTCCAAAACCCTTGTTGAGACAGCCAAGGAAGCCAAGGAGAAGGCAAAGGAGACGGCACTGGCAGCTACAGAGAAGGCCAAGGACCTTGCCAGCAAGGCAGCCACCAAGAAGCAGCAGCAGCAGCAGCAGCAACAGTTTGTGCAGCCAGTGCAGACCCTGGTGTGGCAGCACACCACACCACCTGCTGCACTCCCTCTGCCCTCCCTGTATTTTATTATTAAAAGTCAACTTCCAGCCTGATCTACTCTCTGGGTAGTGGGTTGGAGGTAGTATCTGTTTGGCATCTACAGTGCATCAGACCTGTTATCCATGTCTGAGCCAGGCCTGCTTTTTCCTGCATTGTATAGCTGAGAAGAGATTTGCCCAGGGTCACGGACAGCATTCAGGCAAAGTGGTCATAAACACTGGACTGTAAGCTCCATGAGGGCAGGGACCTTCGTTTTGTTCTCTGCTGTGTCCCAAGTATCTGGAACAATATCTAGCTCATAATAGACACTCAATAAATATTTGTTGAATTAAAAAAAAAGTTTTGCTGTGCTGAAGAAAAGACAAAAGAAGTACTAGTTGGAGGTGGACGTGGTCAAGGGAGGGTTTTTACCCAAACCGGAGATGCTAGAGCATGCTTGTATGCTAATGGGAATGTTCAATGAGAAGGAAGGAAGTATTGTGGGAGAAAAGAGATAAATGAAGAGGGAAGCCCTTCAAAAGACAAGAGAGGCCCTGGCTGGTGTGACTCATTTGGTCACCAATAGGTCACCAGTTTGAAGGTTTTGGATTCAATCCCCAGTTGGGTGTGTAAGGGAGGCAACTGATCAATGCTTCTCACTCACATAAATGTTTCTCTCTTTCCCTCTCTCTCTAAAATCAATAAAAACATATTTTTTAAAAAAAAATAGAGAATGGGCAAAAGGAGTTTAGAGAGAGGGGCTGAAAAATGATTCTTCTATTATAACAGGAAGAAAGACAGAGAATGAATACAATATCAGAATAGAGATACAGATTAATTTATAGCATAACAGAAACTTTCATCTTAACACAAGACTGAAGCCATATAAGAAATAGATATATAGATAGCTATATATATACTACTTTATGTAAATAATTGTCCAGTAACTATGTGAATTTTAATAAAACTGAAATATTTGCAAACAGTACCAAAAAAGGTACATAGTAGAAATGCAATCCAGAAAGGAAAAAAAAGCGGGGGGGTAGTATGATATGAGAAACTATTCTTTTTCTTTCTTTAAAAATGCCAATTTGATGAATATAAGTCTATACTTTTTCAGGAATGTTGGTGTCCACCTCCAAGGTATCCCTTTCTTTGGATCAAGTTAACTAGAAAACCAATTTAGTAATCACAAGATTGCTTGTGATCACAGTCCTAGGGCAAAGGGAATGAATAAACTTGCGGTCATTTCATTCAAGAGGCAAAACAAGCCCAATGAATTATCTCTGATATACATAATAGGGACAAGTGTCTGCCACATTCAGAGTCTCTTTCCCCTGAACAGTGTTGGAAACAGAGCAATAAAATCTCCCCATCCAATTTGTGGGACAATCTACCTGAGGCCTATTTAATTTTATATCTATTTGGAAGTATCGGCCACTTCCATGCCTTTAAGAAATTTAAAAGACTGCTAGAAGGAAAATATATCAAGGCAGGAGCCTAATGAAAACAATTTCCTGAAAATAATTTACTAAAGGGACTATTTACAAGGATGTGAGCAGAGTTCAAGGAAACAAGTATGTAGAGACACCCGGGGACTAACAAGAGTTTGTCAAAACTTCAGTCCCTAGACAAAGAAGGGCAAGGCGAAGAAAGCAGTACAGATCCCAGTGAGTGCTGGAGCCACGGCATCATGGGGCTGTCAGGCAGCTATTGCAAGAGCATGGCACCAAAGTGGGGGGGAAGGACAAAGAAGAAAAGCATCAATCTCTCTTTCTTCCTGCTCTTCCTTCTACACCTGTGTCAAGCTTCTGCTGAACCTATTGGAAGTTAGAGGGTGAGGGAACACAGTGATGTAACCCACGGAGGTGAGTGCTCCAGGATTCAGAGCAGAAAGGGTGGAGAGTGAATCTGGGGGGTGGGGATAGATGAGGGCAGGCAAGCAGAGTATAATTAACACAGGAAGATAAGATATCCGTACATGAAACAATTAAATAGGGATATCAACTATGGACTCTCTGTGGAGCTATAAACGTGATAGAGATGAGGGGAGGGGAGAGGGAAAGCAGGGAAAGTTGAACAAAACTAGCTAATTCACAGTAAGACTGTAACACTTAGCTTTCATTAATCTTTCTTTTTTTAAATATATTTTTATTGATTTCAGAGAGGAAGGCAGAGGGAGAGAGAGATAGAAACATCAATGATGAGAGACAATCATTGATCAGCTGCCTCCTACACAACCCCTACTGGGGATCAAGCCCACAACCCAGGCATATGCCCTTGACCGGAATCAAACCCTCGACCCTTCAGTCCACAGGCCAAGGCTCTATCCACTGAGCAAACCCAGCTAGGGCTCATTAATCTTTCTTACTATACCAGAGATTTAGAGGAGGGGGGTTGATTATTTTGTGTTTTGTTTATTAAAGAAAAGGTTTTATTTTACCTTTATTATGTACAAGGCAAAAAAAAAATCCTAGAGGTAAAATTTTTGTTTGGCTTTTTGAGGAAAGGAATCCTTTGCTGATTTTTATAACATATTATCCTTGGACCCACTATTCCCACCTTGTCTACGTGCACCGTTGGAAAGAGGTCTAAATCTCCAGCATACACTGGTTTACTGAAGCTTACATTTAGACAAAAGCCTAATGCAGACACTTGAGGTCACAAGGCCTCTGTCACTAAATGGACACAATAAAAAAAAAAGCAGCATTTCGGTTAAGAAGGTAGGCTCTGAAGTCAGGTTGTGTGGATTTGAATGCTTGCTGTACTAGGTACTAGCTGTACGGCCTTGGGTAGGTTACTCCTCTTGTCCTCCATGCCATATGAAACATGGTGACAATAATAATACTTATTCCATAGGGTCATCTTGTGAGGAGTACATAACATACTTTACATAAAGTACTTAAGATACTGTCTGGCATATGGTAAATGCTTAAGAAATCTTATGATTAATAAAGCCAATGTTTTGATTCCAAAGTATTCTACAGTCAACTTGATTTCGCTTTAATAACTTGGTCTTGGTCTTCTCTCCACATCTTTAGATTCTTCTCTCTCTCTCTCTCTCTCTCTCTCTCTCTCTCTCACACACACACACACACACACACACACACAGTCACATATACAGGCAGAGAGAGAGGGAGAGAGAGAGAATAGTGACATTCTCATTTATACCGAAAACATATGAATACTTTTAAATTCATTCATGTACTCATATATTAATTGAGTAGCTATTATGTTTCAGATACTGGACTAGGTGCTGGACGTAATAAAAAAGTGAGAAAACAACCAACCACACCTTGCCCCTAAGGAACTTGTGTTCCAATGAGGGAGACAGACATTAATCAAATTGCTACACATAAAAACTGTATGGTAGGGCAATACCCATTAGTGAATTAGGATATTGAAGTTCAGTTTTTTCAAATTCTAGAGAAAAGGAGATGAGCAGAATTCTAGTGAGCTACAAGTGAGACATCAGGCTGCTGCGCTATTATTCATATGTAACTATTTAAATTTTAATTGTAAGCAATTAAAACAAAATAAAATTTAAAATTCTGTTCCTCATTTGCACTAGCCACATTTCAAGTGCTCAATCACCACATGTGACTAGAGGCTGCTGTTTTAAGCAGTGAAAATATGGATGATTTCCATCATTGTAGGGAGTCATTGGGAGCTTCAAATATGAAGGAAATTCCCATGGTCTGGAAAGGGGAGGTTGTGATTAAAAGTAGGCAAAATGGTATACAATACAGAAGCCATGGAAAATATAAAGTTTTCCAAAAAGGAGATATAATTTCTAGTAGACACAAGGGTACAAGTATAATACAATGTTGACAAAATCACATGGATTGGTTCCCCTATCAACCACGTCCTCACCAAAAAGACATTTCCCAATGGAACTTTATATTTAGTTTCAGATATTTTTTAGCTTGCAATTTTGTGATATAAATCCTGGGGAATACAGAAGTCTCTTAAAATGAATTATAATGCTTACAATGCAACTTTTAAAAAATGAACGACTATATATATAGTAGTAAGGGCCACATGGCTTTTCCCCCAGAAGTTACATTTAAAAAAAAAATCTATCAGTATTTTATTTGTTTATATATCTTTCATATTTTACTGACTCCAGTTTCTTACTCATGAACATACCAATTTTTCAGGTTTCCTTTTCTCCATTCTCTCGGGAACACAAAACTGTGAGTATAATTTCACATTGACTGTGCTTGTATCCATAGAGTCAGAAGCAAGAGTTCTTCATTTCCCCTGTGTACAATCATTCTTTCAATGCTCCCATTTTTGTATTTGACAGTGCGTTAGAAAAGTGCTATAACTAGCATGGGGCGGGAAATAGTACTTAAATATTTTGCACTCAGGATAAATATGCCATGTGCTCAGAAAAATAAGAGGATTCTTGGTGAGAGGTGAGAGTTTTCTACCTGAAAAAAGAAATTCCAGTCACGAAAGGTGAAATGAAGTTTTGCTCATTTTCTAGGTGTAAGAAAAAAATCACAGCTGTTATTGTTGTTATTGTTCAAAATTCTTGCCTGGCTGGTGTGGCTCAGTGGTTGAGTGTCAACCTATGAACCAGGAGGTTGAGGTTCGATTCATGGTCAGGGCACATACCAGAGTTGTGGGCTCCATCCCCAGTGGGGGGCGTGCAGGAGGCAGCCAATTGATGATTCTCTTTTATCATTGATGTTTCAATCTCTCCTCTCTCTCTCTCTCTCTCTCTCTCTCTCTCTCTCTCTCCCTTCCTCTCTGAAATCAATAAAATATATTTTTAAAAGAATTCTTATCATACAGTTTTTTAACCAAAATCTGTAAGAAGCAGAGCATTTTATTTTTTATATTTTAAAAAAATATGTTTTTATTGATTTTAGAGAGAGAGAGAAACCTTGATATGAGAGAGAAACATTGATTGGTTGCCTCCCATACGGTCCAGGACTGAACCCACAACCTGGGGATGTAACCTGACCGGGAATCAAACTGATGACCTTTTGGTGTGTGGTATGACTGACAACCAACTGAGCCACACCAGCCAGGGCATCATACAGTTTTAATTAGCAAGACAAAATATGGGTATGGTTTCCCAGCTAGAGACTATATGGGTACGTTGTAAAATGTGATCCCCAAAGCTGAAACTACCCTAATACTCAATCCCCTCCAAACATCTCAGCTGTCCAATAAGTAAGAAGTCCTTCTCCCTTGAGACCACCATGTTGTGAGGAAGCCTGAGCATCTGCGTGGAAAGGCCCAAATGGAGGAAAGGCAAGGTCCCTGGCTGACAGCCCAGCTGAGCTTCCAGCTAGTAGGCAGCACCATCTGTTAGAGTGAGGCCATTTTGGCCTTCTCAGCACCTCAGCCAATACCACATGAGGCAGAAGAACTAGGCAATCCATAGAATGGTGAAAAATAATAAATTGTTGTTTTAAGCCACTTAGTTTGGGTGTAGTTTGTTAAGCCACAGTAGAACTGAAAGGGTATCTTAGGCAAGACTATCTAGAGACTATATAACTTACTTCCCTCATGCACCTTATACGTAATGTTAGGGATATATTTTGTTTTAATGAATAAACTATGCTATGGTAGAAGAAAGAAAAAAAATCTAACAAGTATTCCTCCTTCTTCCCACTACCAATATACCCACCATCCCATGCCTGTACTCACACTCTGCCTTCCCTCTGTTACACTGGAAATACTGTTTCTGCTTCTATCAAAAGCCAACACTTTCAATTGGGTTCCAGATCCCATTCTTTCTTTCCTTTTGAAGGACTCACTCAATTATCTTTTCCTTCTGCTACATCCTTTAATTTTTCCCTGTCTATTGACTCATACCTATCAGTAGATAAATGTGCTTTAATATCATCCATTTAAAAAAACTTCTTTGACCCCATATCACCTATTGTCCTACATTCTTAGCAAAACTTCCTGAATCGGTTGTCTATATGGTACCTATCTCCACTTTCTTATCTGCTGTTCTCTCAACCCACTCCCACTGGGTTTCTATCCACACCATTTCATTTAAACTACTCTAGTCAAGGTCACCAGACTTCTGTTACCAAATTCAATATTCATCCCTGTCCTCATCTTCCTACATCTCTCAGCAGTATTCAAAATAGTTTATCACTCCTTTTCTTGAAATATTTTCTTCTTTTGGTTTCTGCTATACATCACACAATCGATCTTTATCCTATCTCACTGGTCATTCTTTTAAAGTCTCCTCTTCTGGCTCATCCTCCTGTGATCAACCTCAAATTGTTGGTATTCCCCAAGTTCAGTACAGAGACCCCTTCTTCCCCCCATCTATCCTCACTCCCTAGGTAATCTCATGGATTTAAATATATCTAAGAGCTGATTAATCCCTCATATCTACTACATCTACCTCCTTCCTGAACTCCAGAATCACATATCCTATTGCCTAGCTGACATCTCCACTTGGAAGTCTAACAGTTATCTCAAATTTAACATTCTCAAAATATAACCTTAATTTCCAATGCCATCTCCAAACTGTTCTTCACCATTTTGGTAAATTGCACTGCCCTCTAACTAGTTGCTTAAACCAAAATCCTACAAGACATTGAATCTACTATTTCCCTTACCACCCACATCTCATCCAAGTCTTGTCAACTCTACCTGCAAAATATATTGCAAATCCTTCCTTCTTCCTATCTCCACTGCTACCATCTGCTTTATCATTTAGATAAGTCACCATCATCTCTGACATGCACTACCATAACCTCCTCTTAACACCTACATTTTCTATCCAAGAGCTTATTATTTTATTTTATTAAATATATTTTTATTGGTTTCAGAGAGGAAAGAGAGATAGAAACATTAAAAAATTGGGGTAAGCCCTAGCCGGTTTGGCTCATTGGATAGAGCACTGGCCTGCGGACTAAAGGGTCCCAGGTTCAATTCCAGCCAAGGGCACATGCCCAGGTTGTGGACTTGATTCCCAGTTGGGGGTGTGCAGGAGGCAGCCAATCAATGATTCTCTCTCATCATTGATGTTTCTCTCTCTCTCTCCCTTCCTCTCTGAAATCAATTTTAAAAAATAAAATAAAATCAATTGGGGTAAAGAAAGACAAAGAAAGACTAGGAAATATTCCAAATTTAAGGTGGCTCAAGAGACATGACAACTAAATGCAATACCTGACCCTAAAATTGAACCTGTACTGGAAGGGGGAAACCCTATAACGGCCATTATTTCATTAACTAAAATATTTGGAATATGAACAGTAAATCAGATGAAAGTTTTAACCAATGTGAACGTATGAAGTTAAGAACTATGGATCAAGGCCCAATTTTTAGAAATACATGCTGAAGTATTTAGGGATTAAGAACTGTGATAGTTCAGAAAAATGTGTGCGTGTGTAAAGAAAGAGAAAGAGAGAATAAATGATAAAGCAAATGGGGTAAAATGATAGCAATATATTCTAAAGGATATATGAGTGTTCCTGTACTTTCTTTGTTGTTGTTAATCCTCACCAGATGATATTTTTTCCTTTGATTTTTAGAGAGTGTGAAAGGGACCTGGGGGGGGGGGGAGGAGGAGGGAGAGAGAGAGAGAGAGAGAGAGAGAGAGAGAGAATATTTATTGGTTAATTTCTGCAAACGTCCCCCTGACCGGGGGCTGGGAATGAAACTGAAAACCATGTGC